GGGGGGAGAGAAAATGAAACGGGGGAAAAGCTAAACAGAAAAGCAAAAAGGAAAGGACGGAACTCAAAACATGGAAAAAAGAAACTGACTCAGTGTACATGCGACTGTCTTCAGCTTACTTAAAGTCTTTTTAAAGTCTCCATAAAGCGATTCATACTCTGAATATAAAATATTAATTGTTGGCATACTATTAAACTCTATAAATTCAGTATTTTACGGTTCACTAAAATTAAAATATGTTCATTGTACCCTAACATTTCTTGAGCAACAGAATTATCTAGTTTCATTTTGACAGTCTCCTTTACAAGCTGCTTTCTACGGGAACACGGGACATTACATAAGGAGCTTTCTGATTCTCCACAATCCCCACTGTTTTCTGTTCTCATTTCCATCACTTCCTTGACAACCTACATTCCACGGGAGAGAGGGAGACACTAGATGAGGAGGTTTGAGGCCTGCTGTAGGACCCACACAAGCTATACTGATTTTTCACAATCTCCATTCCGCGGGACAAGGAAACATTGCATGAGAGGGGTTTTCCAATTCTTGGCAACCTCCATTATTTTCTATTTTCAGTTTGATTGCCTCTTTTCCAATCTGCATTCGACAAAATTATGGGACATTACATGAGATGTTTTCTGACTCTTCTCAACTTCCACTAGTCTCATTTTAATCTCCTTTACAATCTACATTCAACAGCAGATAGGAACATGAAGAGATGGGGACATTACATGAGAAGTTCTCTTATTCCTCACAACTTCCACTGGGGACATGAGGAGATGAAGACACTACATGAACAGTTTTGAGGCCCGCCAGCTATAGGACCAGCAAAAATCATACTGATTTTTCACAACCTCCAATGCTTTCGACTCATTTTGATGACATTACGCGAGAGGAGTTTTCCAAATCTTCACAACCTCCATTATTTTCTATTTTCATTTCGATCACCTCTTTTACAATCTACATTCCACAGGAGATGGGGACATGAGGAAAAGAGAAAGTGAGAAAATTAGGAGATGAGGAGATGGAGAGATGAGACGGGGACATTACATAAGGAGTTTTCTGATTTTTCACAACCTCCACTATTTTCTATTCCCGTTTCAATCACCTCCTTTACAATCAACATTCCACAGGAGATGGGGAGATGAGACAATGAGAAAATGAGGACATGAGGAGATGGGGACATTACATGAGGAGTTTTCTGGCCCGCCGTATGACCCGCGCGTCGTTGGCGGGCAGGCTTGTCTCCAGGGCGCTGTACAGCATCAGCTCCTCGTGGATCTCGTCCCGGTGGTGCTGAAGCAGCAGGCTGTCCCGCTCCGCAGCGCTCACTCTCGCTGAGCCCGCCTCCTCCTTATCCTGCTGCTGGTGCTGCGGCTGATCTACCCTAGCCGTGCCACTGTGGTTGTCGTTTTTGGAGAGGATGGCCCTGCTCCCTGAAGCGTTTTGCTGGTGGTGGTGGTAGTGGTGGTGGCGCGACGGGTAGCCAGCAGGGGCGGAGCTGTTCGGTGGGTGATATAGTAGGGGGGAGGGAGGCGTGATGTGACAGGGGGTGGTAGGGTAGGGCGGGGTGTTGATACCAATCAGGGATTGAAAACAGGATGGAGGGTGAGGGTTGTTTGTTGTAGTTGTTGATCCACAAGAAGGTGAGGGTATCAGCCTCAAGATAGAAAGACATAGACGCATACCCTCCAACCCCCCCCCCTCCCCCCCCCACTCCCTCTCTTTGAGAATCTCCCCCATTCAGAATCTCTTTCTAATAATCTATTTCTCTAAATAAAACGAGTCATCCGCCACAACTTGACATTGCAGAATGATTGTAGAGAACCTATACCTCTGCAGAAATCCTTCATGTTGATGTCGAAATGAAAGAGGGTTGGGTTTTTTTTCCCACCACTATTTCTAGCAGACTCTGGGTGGTGGTACACTGTCAGTCAACATAAAACAGGAAACTCAAAATGTGAGTGAGATGAAAATGCAATGAAAAACAGATAAACGAAGAGAGAAAAAAAGGAAAAGAGAAATTTTAAATCAAGAACATGCACCGGTATACATTTTCGTAACGTGTGAAATTTTAAAATATCAGAGCCACAAGCTTGTCATGCCTAGATGCCCTATTTTCTTCATTGAGCAAAAATACTGCTAATTTGATACTGTTAAGAATGTCCATACTGTCTAAATTTAGCTTATATATCCTTTACAAATTTTCTTTTGTCAGACTACCCGTGCCTATGATTTAGAAAGGATTGTTGTACATTGAAAAAGAGTAAGCACAAAACTTGTCCTTGTGTAAGCTGTAACATATTTTATCTTATTTTATAAATTGTAAAGCGCCTGGGGCACTATAGAACTGATCTTCATTATAATATCATAATACAATTTATACTTTTTAAAAAAATATAGGTGTTTTTTCTCCCCATTGATAGAATTTAGATCATTAAGAAAGCGAGCTTCTGACCCTGCCTGTCAGAGCTAACCCCAGCGACTAGGGGAATACAACAACCCAAAAGAAAAAAACAGATATTGGATTTTTAAACAAAAATTTCCTCACTCTAGAATTGAACTCTGGTCCCCTGCTTACAATAGCAAAGTGCCTAAACACTACACTAAAGACACCGGTGACAAAAACTTCATCCCCCCAAAAAATCCTCAATTACAGATAGGGCCTACTAAACTTGAGGGCACAATGTGGTGTATAGCGATACACTGAGGAAACTCTGCATGCCTCAGCCTCTAACGTAGCAGAAAAGCGTAAACATTAGCTCCACACAGCAAAAAAGCAAGCCACTGTTGGACTGTTTTGAAGATAATCAGCTAAAATTGTCAAAGAAATAAGTTTCATTTCTGGCATCCTTCTGGATGTTCAGTTAGTAAAAAACTGGAATGAAATAGCGTGACAGTGTTTGCAGAAAGCTGATCTGTGTTCGCACAAAGTACACATGAGATATGCAAGTTGAACGACTCTTGGTGCTGTCTTTTTTTTTTTGTGCTGGCAATGAACATGAGACTTCTTAATTTTTTAAAAATTAAGTCCCACGATAATGTGCTTTATGCAATCTTATCAGTTAATATGTTTCTTTGCAGCTTTGTAAAGTTTACAAAGTGACTGACACATTTCACAAGACCGACTTTGGCCCTGGAGATAGACTGACCACCAATGTACCAAATACGAACGCTTGGCAGTCAGTGTATCCTTATTTTTTCATATGAATTTTCTAAATATATAAATGAAGTAAATACTACATGTTGTTTTTTTTACCCACTCAGTTTTTTCAGCAGTAAAAATTTTAAGTAATTATATATTTCTATCTTATTTATTTATTTATTTACTTTCTTACTCACTTATTTATTTATTTATTATTTCCTAATTATTTTTTTTCTTTTGGGGGTCCCCTGTGTCTTTTATCAAGTGCCATGTAAGTGATGTTATTCATATCAAATGATCATTGACACGAGTAGAATGTGTGAAAGTACAATGACATGTTCCTGCAGTGTTCTAATCTGTCCTCACAATTGGTCCTTGCTTCACTCTGACTTATAGTTTTGTATTGAGACAGACGAAATGAGCTATCTTCAGGGAAAACACTTATGATACATTCAGTTGGGGCCCAAAAAGTAACGATTGAGTTTTAAGGAACTGTCACTGCGCAAGTGTTCTTGGAGAGTAATAATATAATAGCTCATCCATTAGTGTCTGACGATGACCAACGTATCAGCAGACGAGAACATTTCTCATAGAGAAATATAAGAAATCAGATGACTTGTGGCGTCTGCTATGGTCAATGAGACCAATTCTGGCAGAGAACAGTTTGCCTCATTTTGAGCATTCAAAAGCTTCATTTGCATTTGTGGATGTGTGAGCAGCTGCGTACTTCTCTCTTCTTCTCTCTTCACTTCAGCATTTTTAATTCGTGAAGCAACATATGATTTGCTGCCTCCTTCAACATATGATTTGCTGCCTCCTACTAGGATTGCTGCTCTCCAACTGGGTTTGTTGAAAAGCAGTCTTGCGAATATCATCATCAGTCCACGTTCAATAGATGAGTTTTCACTAGGTCCCAAAATGCCACTCACTTTATGAACTGGAATGCACTGATCAGTATAGACAAGAGAGTGAGGCGCATGTTCATTTGCAGTCAGCATTTTTTGCTGTTGTTTTGGAGGGTTTTTTAAAAGGTGCACAGGCCCGTGTACACTTTTGTGCAACTGTTTCAGGAAAAATATATTATGTGCATAAGATATGGCAGTGTGATTGCCTCTCAGTGCAAGAAAAATGCACATTGTGCATGTAATTGTGTGCAAACGTGTTTTTAGTGAGCGTGCATAATATTTGCATGTCAACATGTGTTCCAGTATGACTGCATGCCTACCCATGGGAATGATTGAGTGTGTGTGTGTGTGTGTGTGTGTGTGTGTGTGTGTGTGTGTGTGTGTGTGAGTGGGTGTGTGTGTGTGTGAGTAGGTCTGCATGTGTGTGTTTGCACACATGAGTTTGTGTGTGTGCGTGTGCGTGTGTGTGTGTGTGCTTGCACATGAGTTCGTGTGTGTGTGTGTGGGGAGTGAGTGTGTGCGTGTGTGTGTGTGTGTGTGTGTGTGTGTGTGTGTGTGTGTGTGTGTGTGTGTGTGCATGTGTGTGGGTGGGTGTGGGTGTGGGTGAGCAGAGTAGGTCTGTATGTGTGTGTTTGCACACATGAGTTTGTGTGTGTGTGTTTGTGTGCGTATGTGTGTGTGTGTGTGTGTGTTTGTGTATGTGTGTGTGTGTGTGTGTGTGTGTTTATCAAGTGGTTAGGCTGTCGGGCTCATAACCAAAAGGTCCTGGGTTCAAACCCTGTAAGGGACTCTATGTTGTGGGCCTGGAAAAGGCACTTTACGCAAATTTCTCGCACTTCACTCAAATGGAAATGGATACCCGGCTATAGACAGCAAAAGACCTCATCAGTTTGTTAGTGTTTGAGAGCTTAATTGACTGCTTGAACTGTATGCTTCCTGGGAAAGATAGGATATTTCCGAGTTTCCTACGGTCTGCTGAGGACATAATAGTTATAAAGCTGATAGAGCATGCTTTAGAGCATGAATATGCGCTCGCTATATAAATTCAATAATTATAATTAATAAGATTTATTAAGAAATCATATACCCATCCACAGAAAGAACTAAATATTTTCTGAAGAAAATAGTGAAAGACTGCCTTTGAGCTCTCTTAAACCAACAAACTTGAATTGCCAACTGCAGATAACACTCATCAAGACGTGCAGTCAGTGCCACAAAAGCGTGTCTCTATTGTTTATTTTTTTCTTCAATCAAGAGATTACCCACTACAGTTTTGATTAGCAGCCTACTGAGCACACTCCATTAGTTCAATACACCACAGCAAGAGAAAGAAAAACAGGAGGGGGGAAAGACAGGAAAAAACTAGTTCTGGTTATGGTGATGAGACAGAGTGAGAAAGAAAGAGAGAGAGAGCGAAGGGCACAGAGAGAGGGAGACAGCTTTGCTAGGCATTTGAGTGTGTCAGTTTTTGGCTCATTCCGTCACTCACTGAATCCGACGCAATACGGCTGCCGTGGAAGCTATGTGATAAAATCTATATGTTGGAGGAGAAAGGAGCATGGTTGAACTAGGAAACGCTTGCAAAAAAAAATTTTAAAGAAAGGAAAAAAAAAGAAAAAGGAAAAAGACACGTCAGTCTTTTCACAAATACCAAAACAAAGGTCATATTTGAGAGGGGCAGGAACAGGAATATACAGGCAAGGCTGAATGAGGGGGGAAAAAGGGAGATCCATTTGTGTATACTTCTTCACTGGACCAGTCGCACCTAACAATAAAGTCTTTACAACACACCTTACATCATACTATTTACTGCGCAGCAAACAACAAAATCTTTACCACGCACCTAAGAAAAGTTTTTACAACGCACCTGGCAACAAAATCTTTACAGTAAAACCCACCTAACAACAAGTTTTCACAATGCACCTAACAACAAAGTCTTTACAAGTTACAGAGCTTGATGAAGAGACTATATACCAGCGCTTGCCAACTAGAGCAACAACCCCCATTACCGGGGAATTTAATCATTTTGAAGAGGTGTTATTTAATGCCCCATTTGGAAATACATGTCTAAAGGTGGTACGAAAATTTTAGCCCCATACAGGAGGCCAAAGTGGGCTCTGGCTATAGAAAAATGACAAAAATTGCTCTAAACCGCCATTTACTCTGTCTTAAGGTAAGGCATGTTTAAGGAGTTCAAGACTTTGAACATTTAAAGTAAAATTGCCTTGAATAAACTTTGTTTAATCCGTCACAACCCTGACGCACCTATGAGGAGAGATTCGAAACTCCTCTAGGAAGATACATTAGTTCCACAATTCACTTCTGCCTCTTGTAATTTGGAAGAGGTGTCGCAGATAAATTACCAAGAAGATAAGTTTCAAACTTTAAAAAGATATTTCCAGACTTCTTCTTTATGAAGTTGACCTGAATTCTTACAGTCTTTTCACACAAAGATAGCTGGTTTAAGGAAGCAGCGGACACACACAGACATCCGATCAGCAGACCGAAGGTAGTGTTGAACCACGTTTCAAACTGTGCGGCCAATACATTCCTTGATATGAATTTACAGATTTTTAAAATAAATAACATACATGTAGTTGCCTTCCTTTTTTAAGTTTCAGGAATTTTTTTTTTTTTTTAAATCTGTTCGAATAGTTAAGCTGTGAGTCTTTTTCTTTTTTTTTTTAAAGCACCCAAACAGCTTGTCTTCAAGCATTGTCGAATGACCAGAACGCGCTTCCTCACTGACGTAAGCAGGCTCGCAAAATAGTTGAAAGGTGCGACTTCTCCTCTACAAACTACAGTTGGGGAGAGCAGGAAAAAAAGGAGGAGGGCCAAAGAAGGAAACGCTGGAAGAGGAGGTAGAAATGTCTATTTCATATATACAGTCAAAACTGTCTAAGACGGCCACCCGAGGAGAAAAATGGCCTTCTCAAGATACGTGGACATCTCACACAGTATCATTATTATTTTTTTATTTTTTAAAATTACACAAGGAAAGAAATAGGAAGAAGCCGTTTGTACAGGAGAATGTCTTATACAGGTGGCCATTAGAGCAGGTTCGACTGTGTACTCTCTTACAAAGGAAGGAAAGCAGAACAAGAACATGGTGGTTGGTAGACAGATGTCTCAAACTATCTGTAAAGGCTGCGCTCTTACTAGCCTGAAATATGTAACGTACAGAAAATAGCCAACCTTATAGATGAACATTTATTTCTGAGCTCTAATAAATAAGAAAAGCTGACTTAACTCAGTTAACCGAAACACTCTTTGCTTGTACTTGAACAATGAGTGAAAAGTAACTTCAAAATATGACTTCCACAATACTTTGTCACACTAGAATTCAGGCATTGGAAATCCCATTTTCACTTTAAAAATACTGATTTGTTATTCTTTTTAAAAGAACTTGACTTCATTTCTCTCACCGAAACTTGATGAAACTCTATCTAACCAAACAACCCCCAAAAACTAAGGGAAAGGAGAGCCAAGGACTGAAGCGATTCTGGCAAACAGACTATATGGTGCCAGCTCTCCCTACACAGAAGGTGCATCAAGTTTCATCTCTTACAGAATTCGGGATATGGCGAGCAAATTCAAGCATCTGTGTTTTATAACCCTTCAAGTGTTGTGTGGCTAACAAATACCTGTGGCGTATGGGGAAAGTATACGACCCCATCATGTTATGCACTAGGAACTATGTATGTTCAGATAAATATGATCCAATGTGGCGCACAGATCTATTGGGGGTACCCACCTGACAGTGTTTTCATTACAACTTATTTGTTTTAGCATTTTCAACCCCACACAGAACGCAGTATCGAAAACAAGGTTAGCTACTGCACGAAATCACAGCATTTTCAAATCCCTACAAACATGACACTCGGCAAATTTTACGTACGCCTTTAAAACCAACGTATATCTCAACATTTAAAAAATCCCTGACAAAGGCACAGTGTCGGAAACAAGAATAGCTACAGCTCTAAATCACAGCACTTTCATTTCTCTACAAACAATGACATTCATAAAAGTTTACTTCAATAAAAACAAAAGTATATTTACTTCTAATAAACAGAAAAAATGTTTCAAAATAAAAAAAAACAGAAAACAAAACCACTTGACAAAGACTTCTCTACCATCACCTAGCAAACCAAAAGAAATCCATCCAAAGCAATGTACATGTGGTGCAGAAAGAGGGAAGATCAAAGGAAACTGTGGCACACAGAGGGCAGAGGTGAAATATTTTGAACCACAAGCTAAAAAGTTCTGACGAATAAAAAAGTGGCTCCCAACTTAAACACATTTTCCCACCTAAAAATCTAAAATGTTCGAAACTCAAACCTCACTGTCTGTTAAAATGAACTCTCAAAATGTTAGGTAACTCAACAAATGATCACTGTGGAGTCCGCTAAAACTGAAATCTGTGGGACTGCCAGAGTCTCTTTAGTTTAGCCAGCTTTTCGATGTAGAGAAGTTGCCTCAATTAAAGAAAAAAAAAATATTGAAGAATTACTTTTTTTCTTTCAGTTTACCACTGTTTTCAGATCATCACGTTCCGTTTAAGAGAACTCCACTGTACTCCCTGAACTGATTCACTTTGTATGCACAGCTTTTTAATAACTGTAAATTCACCAAAACAACAGAACTGGAAAAGGAACAATGACACACAACTACAGAGACTTGGATCAGAATGTCTGAACAGAGCAGCTCACAGCTGCACAACAGATAATTAAGTTCACCTCTGACCTGCGCTAATTCAGAAGTGAAAGCCTTACATTTTTGCAACATGAACGTAAAACATACGACACAAACAAAAAAAATGTACAAAAGAAACACCTAGACAAAGTAACAGAGTCACTACACGAAACACAACATGTCTTACTTGAGCAAATTTTCATTGAAAACATCCTGCAGAGTTGGATCTGACAATCTTTTGCTGGGAGCTGGTCGCCTGCGACTCTCTTTCCCTGAACATCACAGAAAAAAAACGTTTTTTAATAAATGATTGGTAGTTTTTACAAAAGGAAAACAGACATTTTATTAAACATGAGGCATTGATACAACAGAGGAATCATGTTGTATCTGTTGCCCGTTACTGTGATGTTAAAAGGTGCATCTTTGATAGATCTTTGAGAGGGTGCGAAAATAGAAAATTCTCAAAATTTTGACATAGCGGATTGCTCACACCAGCACAAATATATTTTCTTTATTTCTTCATCTAAGGAGAAAACTACAAGTAAAAGAGACCGATTCTCTGCAACTGCTGAAAATTACCATAATTATAATGCTGTCCCTGTTGTAAAGGAATTTGCTCAAGCCACTGACAGCAGATCACCGGCCAGTGGTTCCTACAGCAAACTGCTGGGAGCAGCTTGCAGAAGATAAGAAAATAAACAGCACTGATCTGATCTAAAAAAAAAATTCCTAGCTCATGGCAAAGTATGCATAAGGGATTTTTATGAAAACTACAGACAATAAAAAGCAAATTCTGATCTAAAAAAAAAAGGCATACCTCCATTTTTCCTGTATCTCTCTCCTGCTTTGATGAAAGCGAAGAAACACCTGAAGAATGCGCGGACTACGGACCAGCGCAGAACCGCAACAGGGTCAATGCCTGGGGAGAAAAGGAACATAACAGAACATCAGAACTCTGACAAAATGTCTCAAATATTAAGAATACGTGTGTCACTTAATCCATTGATAAGTCTTCAAGGTGTGTGAAAGTCTATATTCGTAGTACTTATCCACTGAAAGTCTTCAAGGTGTGGGAAAACATATTTGTATTATTTAATCCATTTATAAGAAAGTCAAGGAGTCTCAAAGAATATGACTGTCATCTTAAATATAGGTATTTGACATAATAAATGCATTGTTGTCTCCAGTGTATATGTTGTGTCCTATCAATTTTCCTTTGAAAAAGTCTCAGAAAAATGAATTATTCAGGCCTCAAGATAAATTGTTCTGGGAAGAGCAGGTACTTACCCATCAATTCTCTCACAAATGCCAGGCTGCTTTTCTTCAAAGTTGCTACAATCTCTGGCCGTACAAGGTCAAGATTTTTCTCCCGGAAATCCTTTCAAAATAGAGAAATAGATGCATAATATGAGACAGTAACAAAAGGTGATAGGGAAAAGACAACATTCGCAAGACTCAGAAGAAGGGAAGAAAAAAATACCATAACTGTTAACAAAATATTTTTCGACAGTAGTTTTGGGTTCTTTTTTTTGGGGGGGGGGGGGGCATGTGCAGTTATTGTTGTTGTTGTTGTTGTTGTTGTTGTCATGTGCAGTTATTGTTGTTGTTGTTGTTGTTGTTGTTGTTGTTATTGTCGCTATCTTTCCTATTTTGACAGAAGTCATCACCTTGACACAATAAATGCTGAAACCAAAAGAGAAGCTCCCAGGCTGCGAACATCCACATGAGGAAGAGGAGCCTTAAAATGTTCAAAATGTGGCAAACTTTTCTCTGCCAGAGTTGATCACATCGGTCACTGCAGAAGTCACAAATCATCTTACCCTTCAAATTCTTCTGTTTTGCTAGAGAAATATTCTCCTCTGCGGATGTAATGGTTATCTTCAGACGTTGACGGACGAGCGATTATTATTATTATCATTATTAAGATAATTATTTTTACTATAATTTTATTATATCATCTCTATTATTATTATTATTATTATCATCATAACTATTATTACTAATATTATTATCATCCTCACTATTATCAGCATTATCATTATTACTATTATTATCATTATTACTATTATTACTACCTTGACGAAGTACTTGACTCGGCCAGCGTAGTGCATGATGCTGAAGGCTCCCTCCTTCAGCTGAGGCACCTGGTAGTGCAGGTTGCTCTTGTGGTGGTGAGTGAACTTGTTCAGGAGAGTCTCATTGGTGGCAGCCGGGAAACTGAAAGACAAATACACAAAATCAAAATGAGTCCAACACATGTGAAACAGAGGGGGCGGTTTTGTTTGTTTGTTTTGTTGGGGTTTTTTTGGTTTTTTTCGTTTGGGGTCTGTTTTTTGTTGTTGTTTTTTTTTTTGTGTGTTTTTTTTTTTGGGGGGGGGAGGGGGCGCAGTGGGGTTTTTATTTCTGGTTTGTTTGTTTCAGTAAGAGTTTTACAACATTAGCAACTTAATTATGTTATATAATAAAAGTACCTACCATTAGAAGTGTTACAAGAGAGTAACAAACACAACAAAAAAAGAAAGAGGAGGGACAAGGACAATAGATGTTTGAAAGGAAAGAAGGAGCAAACCACACCAGAGCACCTGACAACCACCCAGGTGAAATAGACTGAAACACATCAAAATAGTAATAGTCAGCCAGTGCGTTACTTGTTAGAGTAAGGAGAAGCACAGGGACACAATAACAGTCATTCAGTGTTGGGAAAAAGTAAAACAGACAGACAGAGGAAAAGTTAAAAAGTAGGAAGACCTACCAGTGGAGGCCTCAAACCAACCAATCAGCTATTGCTTGAGAAAAGCAAGTTGTTGAAACTTACAAACAATCATGTCCACATAATAATGGATCTCTCAAGTGTGCATTTATTCCTGGCAAAGTGGAAAACAAATATGAGGCATTGTGGTGAAATCAGGCGCTCAGCAAAATAATGAAATCAAAGAAATCTGCATTTTTATGGACATTGTGCAATTTTTTCCAATTTTCTTATTTTGGCCCAACATCTTTAATGTCCATTTAAAAACTCATTTAGGTGTGGATTTTACTGAAAAACGTTGATCAAAGGCACAAAAGATGTAAATTTGCATTTTCCAAAGACTCTCTAGCTTTGGGAGTCACCAAACTTTGTCGGCCATTTTACTTCAGAAACCAAGCAACACCACATCCTTCAATAGCAAACATCTGAACTTCTATTCAAGATAGATGTGTAGTTTTTTTCAAAGAAAGCAAGACAAATGAAAAAGCTTTATGATGATACCAATAACTCCAGATGCCCAAAAATTGACAAGCGCCTGATTCCACCACGTCGCGACACAAAAGATATAAGTAAAGGGAAAATTCGGTATACTCACTTGCACTCTTCATCCAGGAGGTAAAAAAGGCCGCTGGGACGTTTGGAGAAAAGCTCCAGACTCCCAGTGTTGTCGATGAACTCAATGTTCTTCCACTGGATACCTTCACGCTGATACTCCTCCTGGAAGAGGGGAAGAGAGGAGAAGAGGAAGAGGAGGAAGGGGGGAGGGGATGATTATTCACATGGCTTGATGCTCTTAACACCACTGTCTCTATCAATCATCATTATTGTAAGTACGAAAAGGAAAAACAAAAATCTGTTAACTTAAATTTTATGACATTAAAAAATTATTTCAGCTGGGTTTCATCAAGAACCATTTCCATCACTATCATCAATAACAAAAGTATCGCTGCCATCAAAGCTCAAACTGTAAAAACGTAAAAGAAACAACAGTAGCAACAACAATATGATGATAATCATCAATGAAAATGATAATAATGGTTAAATAATAACAATAATAGTATTAAGAATAAAAAGAATAATAACAATAACCATAGTAATAATAGTAATAATAGTTATAGTAATGCTGATGAAAATTATCCTATTAATATCCAACTAATAGTATATTACAAACCTGCTCAAACTTGAAAATATGTTGGTTGAAGTAGTACTGCAGATGCTCGTTGGCATAATTGATGCAAAACTGCTCAAAGCTGTTGCGGCCAAAATCCTCAAAGCCGAAGATGTCGAGCACACCGATGGAGTCTCCTTCGTGTTCCGAGTCGTGTTTCTTGGCCAGCAGCGCCTGGTTCACTTTGAGCACGATCCAGTCAAATAAGGCACCGTAGATGCACTTGGCCATGGCATCTCGGGTCGCAATAGCCTGAGGGTGGGGGTGGGGGGTTAAGTAGTTTTAGTGGAGGTTTTACGGCGCTCGCAACTGCATACGGTCATATGAGCGTCAGGAGATTAGAGGTGTTACAAGAGAGTAACAAAAATAAAAAAGAAGAAGGGGAGATAAGAACGATAGATGTTTGATAGGAAAGAAGGGGCAAACCACACCAGAGCACCCACCAACCACCCACTGAGGGTGGGGTTTGATTCAATTAAGTGTTGCTCTCACAGTGAAGTCATCATCTACCTTACAAAATGAACACTTTTTGTCTACTTTTGCATCCTGTTGCCCTTCAGCATCAAGACAAGAGTGCTTTTGTCCACAAAAAGAATAATTTGTGTCTCAACGTGGTGGAATCAGGCGCTCGTCAATTTTTGGCCACATGCAGTTATTGGTAGCTTAAAGTTGTCTAAATCCAATACTATTTTAAGAAGAGGAATGAGACTAGGACCACCAAACTCTAGAACATACTTGAGTTTCATTTATTCAAAATTTAGACATGATACGAAATGTTGAATGGCGGCAATGAAATACGAATAGTAACTTTATGGAAATAGAAAGTAACACACCCCCACCCCAGACATTTCATTCCGGCAAATTAACTCTCTGACTGCCGATACTGACGCTGGGTCCAAAGACTTAGACATATAAGAAACGTTTAACTCTCACCCAGTCACTTCTGATTTCTTCACTATTTTTACAGTTTCCCGACACATAATTGGTCTCGGCAGTTTGCGGAAAGGGCAGGCATGCTATTTAAAGTTTGTTTAATTCAACAGTTGCATCCCTCAAACAATAAATCTAGCTTTTGTGGGGTTTTGTGAGATGAGTTACAGCCGGTATTTGTTGGATTTGGCACAGCGTTTTGACATGAAGTAAGATTGAACTTACACAGAGCAGCAACCAATCTGATTTTTAAAAAATCAAAGTCAACCTTTCTCTGATCAAACCAAACCCAGCAAATGAGCACACAACTAAAAACTTTAGGTCAACTCACATCTTCCATTTTGTAGTTGATGACAAACGTTTCATCGCCAGCTGTCGTCTTTTTCTGTGTCAAGGCTTCCAACACGTATCTCTCTTTGACCTGAAAATGTTTTAAAAAATACATGTAACCCTTACAGCAACATTCTGATGGCATATTTTAACGAAAATATATATAGCCAGCCACACCAAAAAGCTGCTCAAAATTTATCACAAGACAATGAAATGTTGCAGTGTACAAAGTCAACTAACTGTTCAGATGTATTGGGGACAAAATTCATTAATTTTTTTAAAATTGCAGTTTCTTAATCTATGTTGTCCGTTTCATGAGCTAAGAAACTTTTTGGGAAAACTCAAATTCTAAATGCTGAACAGAGCAAGGAAAGAGACATAATGCATGTGCAATCGTGAAATACATGAAACAGCTTTTTTTGCAAGCCTTTGCAGAAAAATGTTGCTTTTTGGGCCTAAAACAGCTTGCCGACCGTAAGAAAATATATTAGCACAACTTTTTCAGTTATTCATTTAAGAAAGCTGTTTGGCTGTGTGACACAGTCTATACATAATTACATTAAAAAAATTAAGTACACCGAAAATGTTTATAGACATTGCGTCTTGTTCGTTTGGTAAGAATTTTACAGCACTCGCAACTACATATTGTCATACGAGTGCTCGGGACTCTAGTTGGTTGGATTCACATAACATCACACCACAGCTTGCTTTTTACTTTGTAACATCGGAATGGATGAAGTTTAAAACTTTAAGGTAAAATCGGTCTTTTACATTTTTAAAATATCATTTTTAACTTCTTTGAGTAAAGTCAACGGTCTTTATAAAACTGAGAGTTCTTGACCTGATCAAACCAAGGATGAGTTCCTTACCTTGAGTAACAAGGAGATAGTCTTCACCGTCTCTCCACTCCTGACCGTGACAGACTCGTCGTGGTGCTTATCTCCCTTCTGGGGACAACAACAACAAAAAATACATTGAAACATTTCACCAAAGTCGGGGAAAAATGATCACATAACTCTTTTTTTTTAAGTGGGCCGGATTACTCTTTGTTTTAGTAAGTGTTTTACGGCACTTGCAACACGATAAGGTCATATAAAAGCCAGAGATTAGAGGTTTTACAAGAGAGTAACAAACACAAAAAAGGAGGGGAGATAATGACGATAGATGTTTGAAAGGAAAGAAGAAGCAAACCACACCAGAGCACCCTCCAACCACCAACTCCGGATAACTGACAGAGCGCTGATTGCCCCGCCGTTTAACTATTTTGTCCCTGTACGATGTACTGAATCCTGTAACATAAAGACAACCAACATATCGAACTGACCTCACCAGCCACATCTGGCCCTTGGACTGTAGTTGAAAAATAAGATTCAATGTAGGTGGTTTTACGCCTCTCTTCGACACACTTTAGATCATTTAGGAGGCAGAAACACTAAGATACACTAAAAAAAATTCTCCCCATGCTAGAGTCAAACTTAGGTCTCAGCAAATCAACAAACTGCTACACCAAGGCTCGCAACCCATTTGCCACAGTCCTATCATAGAAGGATGTTTAACTCAGAGGTGTCGCCTCTTAGAAAACTTAAGTGTGTCGATTGGGGCATTCAACTCATTCACTTAAGCTTAAGATGTTCACAGTGCTATGTGACATTTCACACAAAAGGATTCTGGACCTACCTTTTTGAATTCGATATTACCAAGATGCAGAACAGCAGATAGAACGCTGAAGATTCTGGAATAAAATATATACCAAAAGAAATCAGTCAAAAGCATAACAGGACACAAGACTTTGCACACAAAAAAGTTACAAAAACTATTCAGGTGGTCATCAATTTTTAAGCATACGGGGTTAACACTATCCCCTTAAAGCTTGTCCACTTGTCTTGATTTTGAAGAAAGAAATATCCATCTATCTTGAAAGGAAGTCGGGATAATTGGGACTGAGGGAGGTGGGGGTCGCCTGGTGTCAGAGGGAGAATTCGCGAGAACATGGAAGCCAAAGTTGACTCATTTGTTTAATTCTTAGTTGTAATGTGTTTGTGAATGCTGACATGTTCTGTTTTTTACCGCTATCCTTATGTGTGTATAATTAATGTATGGTTGTGAAAGTTTTGTAGTTGAACTGATTTTTCTTGATTCTGTAAAATATGTTATTTTGTGTGAATGAAGTATTTCACTCAGTGATCCTGTGATTGACGTAAAGCGCTCAAAGCCTATACTCATTATGGGATAGAGCACAATGTAACTGCAATCTATCATTTTTATTACAACTTACAAAGCTTGAATGTGATTGAAACCTGCAAATTTACTTTTTTGTCCCCTGCATCAACACTTTAAACGGAAGTGTGCTTTTAGGTGGACATGAATACTGTTGCGCAGAAAAAGCAACAACAACAACAACAAAAACTTTTTTTACTTAAAAAAAAAAATGTTATTGCCAAAAAGGTTTTTTAGTCTCTTTATTTTGACGAGCTGATTTCATCACCATCACACGTACTTGTTCTCCCATACAAGAAATTATCAGTTTCATTTTAGTTGAGGACACCCTTAGAGCCAGGCACATTGGGATATGTGATTTATATAAACCAACTAAAGTATTATTGCCATAGCAAATACAAAGTAATATTGTTGTAATATTCGTACATAATATATATATGGAACAATAATATTATCCCTCACCCCATACTCTAGAATTCATGATCTTGCTTGGAAATAAAAGTTTATGTGGTAAAAATTGCAATACAATAATAATGATTAATAACAATTAGCATTTGCGTAGCGCAAATTCCCACTCAACAGTAAGCTCTATGCACTTTTCAATCTATATTACTACCCCAGCAAACCACAAACCTGATAGCATTCTAAAACAATCTCAACTTCCTGGGAAGTACACAGTGCAAGCAACCATTTTACAGGCCTAAAACACTACAATACTGACAGAATCTTTCGCCATCTACGGCCTGGTATCCATTCACACCTATGTGAAGTGAAGAAAATTCATGTAAAGTTGTCTTTCCTAAAGACACAACGGCGGGGTCTGACCCTCGAACACCCGAACTCCCAACCTCACGACTACGCATCCAGTAGCCTAACCATTAGACTGCCGTAAGTTGACAAAATGTCTTTTTTTCATTTTGCCGCTAAAATTGTTCATTTCTAAATCAAAAGCCTGATTAATTACCCTACTTGTGTGAAAAAATCCAAGTCAAACTGTAACTAGTTTTTTTATAAATTAGAATTCAAATTTCGGAATAGTTCTATTTTTAAATGGTTATGCTGCCAAAAAACTTTTTTTCTCGAAACTGCTGTGGAAAAAAAAAGGCGTTTTGTCAGCTTACGGCGGTAGACTACCTGTACCATTATGTCATTCAAAATTTCGTTTTTACTTTTTCTGCGTCTCTGGGGAGAATCCGACCATTTCCATAGACTGCTTGAGCCGGGCGAACTCATGCTGCTCATCCACTCCCTCCACACTGTAGCAGGCACTCTGGGGACACAAAACGTTCGTTTTAGTAGAGGTTTTACGGCGCTCGCAACACAATAAGGTCATATAAGTGCCAGAAGATTAGAGGTATTACAAGAGAGTAACAAACATAAAAAAGAAGAGGGGAAGATAAGGTCGATAGATGTTTCATAGGAAAGAAGAAGCAAACCACACCAGAGTATCCGCCAACCACCCACAACACAAAAAGACCTCTTCATCTAAAGATTTGAAATTGTGAGCTTGTGTGTGAAAGTGTGTTAGTGCATACAAGAGTTGAGTATAATTATGAAAGACGGACATGATGTGGGTTGGGGTTACAGACAGACAGACAGACAGACAGACAACCAGACAGATAGACAAACAGACAGACAGGCAGACAGACAGACAGACAGACTGCAGGACAGAGAAACAGACTCTCTCTCTCTCTCTCTCTCTCTCTCTCTCTCTCTCTC